TGGCCTTCTGACCAGGGCATTTAGAGCAGTGCTTCTCAAACTTTGATGTGCCTGCAATTACCTGGAGGATCTTGTTAAAATGCAGATTTAGAGCCATAAGTCTGGGATGGTACCCGAGATTCTGCATTTCTAACAAGCTCTCGGTTGGTTGTAGAACCAACCATACTTTGAGTAACAAGACTTTAAAGGGATAATTTGTGGGAGTTAAACTTTCTCCAAAACCCTCACCTGGTTAATGGCCCTCCTAGCTCTTTCCACCTGAGGGCTTCTGGTCTTCAGACCACTGTTCGTACTCCCTGCTTTTTCTGGACATCTCTGGTTCCCACTGACTAGTCCCCTGACTGCGTGTGGCGCTGTCTGCGCTGCTCGCTTGGTTCTTAGCATTCACAATCTGCTTTTATATGCCCGTGGGTCATTTCTCCAACTAGATAGCTGAATACCTGAGGTTTATGGACTTCCCTCTTGCTTCCTTCTGACCTTGCAAGGCCGAGCGCAACATTGTGGGTATACGCAGTATTCCATGAATGTGGATTCCTTGAATTAATCTGCCCTTTTGGAGCCAACCATTCCTTTCCTCGGCCCTTTGTCACCTGGTTTATTGGCCCAGTGAACCCTTGCTGGGCCTGTCTCTCTGTCCCTATTGCCTGGAACTCTGTTTTTAGAACACTAAGATGGATTCCGTTCATCTCCAGGAGAGTGTTGGGTTCCGGAATAGGGGTAACATAGTCCTCTCTTGGAAAAGGAGGAACTACCCAGTCAGGCGGGCCAAGGGACCATTGATCTGAGCCCTGTGAACAGTGGCTTCTCAGGAGCCTTGGATCTCAGCCCAGTTGCAGACAACTTCTTCTTTCAACTTCCTTTCATGTGTTTTAACTTCACAAACATGCCAATTCCCAGCTGCCCCTCAGAGACAGTGGCAGTGGTGGCGAGCCCACAGCAGGGGTCAGATGAAGTGGTGGGGTGGCATGGGGAGGGTTGTGGTGGGAGGTTTCCCCACCATCAGAGACTTTGCCACTGGGGACTGGGGTTGTATTGCTGATCTACAGATACACACATATGGACTCAGACCAGCGGACTGGTGCACTAGCTGTTACACTCAATGTTAAAAGTAGGTACCCACATATGGCAAATTCACACACAGACATCTTGCCCCTTTCTTATGTCCTTTGTACCTCTATATTCTCTCTCTTTCTCTCTGACACACACACACACACACACACACACACACACAAATACTTAACCAATTAAGTCCGTCGAGCGCTATTTGCAGATGATGGTGTGGAATTGTGCTGGAGTTGTGTCCGGCCTCATTAAATGTCAGGATTAACAATACGGCACTTGGCAATCAAGGCTGCTCTGTGGCTGTTAGTCATTAATCACCATCTGACAGTCCTGAATTGGAAACGAGGAGCCTGTTCACATGTGCTCTGTGTACCTAGTTACCCTCTTGGTAATCAGTCTCGGAAAAGTTTTCTTTGACTCCCTGCCTGCGAGGGCCTCTGTCCTGGCAAAGGAGCGGAGGGTCATTCGACTTTGCTCCCCTCTCCTCCTCCTCCTCCTCCTCACTGGGAAAAGAAGTTGAGGTCCTAAAAAAACAGGGGAGAGAGGAGCATATTGTTTTTGGCCTACTCGTTCCCTCTTATGCCTACTTCATGTAGCCTTGTTTTTATATTCTGGCCCAACGGCCAGGAAAATTCTTTTTCTCCTTGGAGAAATCCTGAAAGACAACAAGGAGCTCAGCTGGGTCCCAAAAGCTGTTGGGGTTAGTTTATAAAATGTGGTTCTTCCCCAGCTGCTCAGGTCCGGTCCTCGGTCTGCTAGATGGGGGGTGGGGGTTGACTAATTTCAGGTATTGTTCAGCAACTTGGTCCTGAATTTCTTCAAGTCCTTTCTGGGTCCCTTTGCAGAATTGAGAGAAAGGACTACTTCGTCTCTGGGGTCGATTCCCAGCACCGTTCTACAACTTTATTAATGGATTCATTCTTCAAATATCTATTTAGTGCCAACTGCGACCAGGCAGACTGGACACTGTGGATACAGAGATAATCACAGTGGTCACGGTGCCTGCCCTCATGGTGGTTATGTTTAGTGGGGGAGATAAGTATTAAACAGAGAATGCTGTATCATGGTATGATTAATCTTTGAAGGAAAATAGTCCTGCCCTGGATGCTTGGTGTTTCCCGTTGTCTAGCTGCCAGGTCCTCCCAGGGGTGCTATCCCTGGAGGTGCCTTTCCTGGGAAAATGTTCATTCCGGAGCTCTCCTGACCTGGCTTTTTCTCACCCTCAAGAATCTTATGTCCCATTCCCTTCAAACCCTGCTGTTTGTTTTCCTAGATGTTGGCTCTTTCCAAACATGCTTTGGTGGGTGCTGATATATTAAGATGGTTGCCTTCTCCTTCCACCCATGCATTTTTACAGTGTCTTTTTCTGGACTTCATTCCTTAGTTCCAAGGAATGTCTTGAGTGGGGGCATTTTCAGTCACTGTGGCCATTTGGTAGAGGGAATGGTTGGAGAAATGCAGGGGCTGGTGGCCACTGACTGCCCAGCCACCAGCTGGTCCCCTCTGCCTGCCTCTAGGGTTTGTTGCTCTAGCTGTGGCCTTCAGAGTAACTACCTGTCCCCTTGGGACCATCCTTGCTGTTCTGGAGAAGGGGAGACTGACCTAGAGGAGGGAAGAACTCTGGAATAACTGGTCACTGGGCCATTGGCAGATGGTGTGCATTCTTTGCTCTTTCCTGATCACGCTTTCTCTTGCCCTTCCTTGAGTTTTACCCTTAAGGCTCTTCCCTAGCCCAACTAATGACTTCAGTTCAAGGACACTGACAAATGTTCTAGTCTTTTAGCTGTTTTCATTTAAATGGAATGCAGCAAGCATTTATTGATTATCCACAATGTGTCTGGCATTGTCGTAGGCACAGGGGACACAAAAATGAAAAAGCCGCTGTCCTTGCCTTTAAAGAACTTGTAGCCAAGTGGGGGGAGATGTGAGGCACTCACCTAGCAAAGTATGGGACGGACTGTAAAAGAGACACAAATAAGGAACCCAAAGGGTTCAGAGCAAGGGGAAACCACAACTGGTTGGAATAAAAAACAGTGAATTGGTGAGAGGGGTTAGACTTTTTAGGAAGAAGGAACAACTCAATGCAAGAGCTTGGTGTCCAGGAAATAGTGAACTGTTAACGTTAGGGTCCTGTGGAGGGTTCTGGGAGGGCTGGCGCAGAACAGTGTGCTGAGGTTGTTTTGTGGAGGACTTGAATGCTAAGTTTGTTGTTGTTAGTTGCCATCGAGTCAATCCCGACTCATCATGACCCCATGTGTGGAGTAGTACTGCTTCATAGGGTTTTCAAGGGGTGAGTTCAAACCACCAACTTTCAGCTAGTACTACCCAGTGACTCCAATGCTAGGTTAAAGGTTATTAAATAGATAATGGAAGGCCAAGGAAGGTCCATGAGTTTCCAAAAGTAAGAAACCCATGCTTCTATTTTTCATTGAAAAGTTGTCTTTCTGGAAGAGAGAAAGCTGAGTTTCCCTCAAGCGTCACACTCCCCGCCAGAATCATATAATTATGTATTGATTTGTGTGATTGTTAGTTTAATTTTTGCCTCTATCAGTAGCTGTCCATACTGCAGCTCCAGAACAAAGAAAACCTCAAAGCGTTTCTCAGTGGCCTCCCTGCAACTCACTTGAGCAGTCCGATTCTACACAAAATCAGCCACCGTTCTCCCACTCCCTTGCATTAGTGCCTAGAGGTTATGTCTGGCTGAGGTCCTTCTTGGCTGCCCAGGAGGTGTGGGATGACTGGGCAGCCAGTGATCTCACTCTGCACCCCTAGGCTTCCTTTCTCCTCCCAACTCTTCCCTTTTCTGGTTCTTCTAGAATTTGGCCTGAGGTACTGATTATTTGTCCCCTCATGAAGGCACAGCTACAAAGGAAAGCACCTTCACAGCAGGAGAATATGGTCGATGTTCAGGTGTGGATTTCTTGGTTTGAGGTGCTCTTGCCTCCCTTCACCTGGCTAACCCCACTCATCTTTCAGGCCTCAGCTTAAATATCATGTTCCCTGACCTTAGTTTTAAATGAGGATTCCCTGTTATACCCTCTCTATACCATACAGCACTCTGTACTTTTCCTTCATCTCTACTACCACAACTTGTAATTAATTATATGTTGATTTGTTTAGTTTCTGTTTTCTTCACCAGTCTATAAGCTCCATGAAGGCAGGAGCTGTATATCTTTTTGCTCAGTGTCTAGTCCAGTGCCTGACATGTACTAGGTGCTCAGTAAGTGGTACTGAATGAATGAACCGATGGTGTTGGGTCCATCTATGGCCTGGATGATCTCAGAGCTGGTTGGACATTTACCCAGTGGCCTGGGAGTGGGTAAATTATAGGATTTCTCTCTGTACTGAATGAATGAACCAATGGTGTCCATCTATGGCCTGGATGATCTCAGAGCTGGTTGGACATTTACCCAGTGGCCTGAGAGTGGGTAAATTATGGGATTTCTCTCTCACTTTTTTGAGAAGGAAAATGGTGAGCAAGGAGAGTATGGCTTGGTGTTCTTGGGAATGCCCCCTTGTGGTTTGGCCGCATGGAATATGTTTAGCCTGCCCTTTAAGAGATGATGAGCGATGAGCAACCACCCTGGTTACAAGGACCCAGCGTCTTCTCTGACAGGGCCCCGAAACTGCAGAACCAGGCCTGAAAAAGAAATGGATGGATATTTCAAAAAGATTAGCAAGTTCCTGACCCAGACTGCTCCCCAGTGGCCTGATCCTGAAGAACCCTGAGCTTTAAAATCCCAAAGAAGTGCTGGGTTCCATTCTTTTCCCTAAGCATTGATAATGCCTAATCTGATGGGAGCTGAAGGGAAATGGGAAGAGAAAGGGAACAATGCAGAGTTTAGAGCAGGGTCGGTTTGAGGCAACCAGCAAAGCAGAAAAGTTAGTATTGGGGATGGGTGGAGGAATACACCAATGTCTTCTTTCCCTCTTTCTAGATGTTCTCCCCACTGAAGACACTGAGGGGTGACTGCTGAAGGAGGCAGAGGAGAAGAAGGTACAGCCCTCAAGATACCTGGGAGTGATGGAGGTTTGTTACCCTCATGGTGGTTCTCATTAGGGAGAGAACTCTGGTACCACCCCCAGGGGCATTTGGAAACATAGGAGGCATTTTTGGTTGTCTCCGTATTGGGAGGTGCTACTAGTGATTATGGAAACCCTGGTGGCGTAGTAGTTAAGCGCTATGGCTGCTAACCAAAAGGTTGGCAGTTTGAATCTACCAGCCACTCCTTGGAAGCTGTATGCGGGCAGTTCTACTCTGTCCTGTAGGGTCAACTATGAGTCGGAATCAACTTGATGGCAATGGGTTTGTTTTTTTAACTAGCAATTACTGTCTTGAGGCCAAATATGCTAACTCTTCTACCATGCATATGACCATTCTGCCCAATAAAAAATGATCTTTCCCCAAATGTCGCTGTGAGATAAGAGAAAAACAGGGACTTTGATGCTTTAGACACTCCATGGTTTCTGTCCGTGGAGCTCCTGGGATCAGAGCAGAAAAAGCTGAGAGGCCTGCCCCTGACCACTGGGGCATGTCACATAGAACTAGTGAAAAGCTCAGGCCACCATCCTCTTCAGCCCCTTCTCAGCCCTCTTTCACTGCCCTCAAACCTGCAAAGCCATCCAGCAGACGCTACTCTTCAAACCAGGCCTCACTCAGCTGTGATGGTTAACTTATTCCATATGTCGGGGCCCCTCTCACGTCAGAAAATGAGAGTGGAATGGGACACAAGTGTGACTAGAGGTAGTTGTGGTAGAGGTGAGGGATGGGGAGAGGGCGATGTCTGAGGGCTGGTGGGAAAGGCTTTTCGAGGGGTGTTGCTCTGACGGGGAAGTGCTGGGGGAAGTCAATGGCAACACGTTCCGGCCTGTTGGGAGGACGGCTGTTGGCACCAGGAGAAACCCATCCAGCGGAGCCAACCCTCATTAATCATCCAGGCGGCTGAACTGCCAGCTCCTTTCAAGATCTTTCAAGAAGGGTTTTCACCCAAAATAGAGTTGAAAATGTGCTGGGCCCTACTCAGAATCTCATCAGTCTGGGCATTATGGGAAGTGTCAGGCAGGCTGTGACAGACAAGGCCCACTCTGTTCAAGGGGTCCTGACTCCCACAGCCTGTCATATCAAGCGCCTGATCAAATTTGACAGCTTCATTTGTACCTACAGAATAGATAAAAGGGGCTGTTCATTGAAACAAATGGAGGGGAAGGGGTGGGGGAGGGGAGCGAGGTGAGGGTGAGAGGGAGTGTGTGTGCATTTGTGTGTGTGTTGGGGGGAGGAATGGCATTGGGGGAAGAACAGCGGGGAGGGTTATGGTTAGGAGCAAGGAGCGCAAAGAAAGATACTCTCTAAGAACATTTTCTTCTCCAACACCGCCAGAGAAGGCAAGGGATGGGGGAGACAGGTGAGTACCAAGAAGGGGTTAGGAGTATGGAAGGGATGTGGGAGTGAAGGACTCCACCCACCTGTCAGTGTCACCATCAAGAGGCTGAGACAAGGCCTTCCTGGCCTCCCTACCCTGAGCTGCCCTCATGGTGTTCTGGGCCCTGAAGCTTTAACTGGAGCCAGGAAGGTGGGTCCTGGGAGAAGGACAGCCCAAGCTGGGCCAGAGAGTGTGGTGGATGTTTCAATTCCCAGCCCAAACATTGCCAGCAGCCTTCCTCCTCTCCTGCTGCGGTCCCTTAACTGTGCTACTTCTCTGTACTAAGGTTCTTGCTCCTCTTTTGGCTGGGCTGCTGGGTAGCCTGGGCAAGAGCCACACCTATGCTGGTGACTCCCTTAGATTACACAAAATGGATGCTGGTTGGTCTGAGCTGGGGTGAGTAACACACCTTGCGCAGCTCCACTTTGGGCCTTGCTCAGGCTGCCTCAAAGAACTCTCCCCACTCCTCTGCCTCTTCACATTTGATCAGAAAATGGGGGCAGAGTGAATGAATGAATCCTCCCAGCAGACAGAGTGCTCTGAACACCTTGCACTTTTTATCGGTCCCCTGCACTTGTCAATATTGTACTTTACTTTGCATTGTTAGCCTGCTGTTAGGTTTTCCCTACTAGATTGTAGGCACTTTGATGCAAGGGGCTGTGTCTTATGTGTCTTCTATCCTCCAAAAGCATTTAGCACACGTAGTACATTCTTAAGAAATATCTGTAGACTGATGTGGATTGATTGTAGCATTTTGCAGCCTACGCACACTGAAAGGCTCAATTGTAATTGTCAGGAAGTGAGCCTGGCATCAGGGGATTTAAGGCTTTATTCTGACCTAGGGTCTTCAGAGGAGAGTGCCAGAAGTTAGCAAGGCTCCCCCACCCTTCCCCAGCTCATATGGAGCCTTTGTGAGATTTAGAAAAAGGCACCCTTCCAGGCTGATGTGGCCCTAGGTGAGGTCTCATAGGGGGCAGTAGAGCCCCCACTTGCTTCTTTGGCTGGATGCCTTTGTGTGGGGTACCACCTACACAACAGAACGCTGTGGCCCTCGTGGTAGGAGCATAGGTTTTTGTAATTAGATAGACTTGGTAGGAATCTTGCCTCAATCCCTTACTGGCTTTTGTGATGTTGGGTAAAATGTGTTCAGTAATAGGCTTATCTCACAGAATTGCTACAAGGATTAATGAAATCTTGTATGTAAAGTACTTAGCACAGTGCCTGACACATAGTAAGCCCCCAGTAAATGTTGCTGTTGTTAGGTGCTATCATGGATTGAATTGTGTCCTCCAAAAATATTCGTCAGTTTGGCTAGGCCATGATTCCCAGTATTGTGTGATTGTCCACCATTTTGTAATCTGATGTGCTTTCCTATCTCTATGATGTTAATGAGATAGGATTAGTGGCAGTTATGTTAATGAGGCAGGTCTCAATCTACAAGATTAGTTTGTGTTTTAACCCGATTTCTTTTGATATATAAAAGAGAAAAGCGAGCAGAGAGACAGGGGGACCTCATACCACCAAGAAAGCTGTGCCAGGAGCAGAGCACATCCTTTGAACCTGGGGTTCCTGCACTGAGAAGTTCCTAGACCAAGGGAAGATTGATGACAAGGATCTTCCCCCAGAGGTGACAGAGAGAGAAAGCTTTCCCCTGGAACTGGCGCCCTGAATTTGGACTGCTAGCCTACTAGACTGTAAGAGAATAAATTTCTCTTTGTTAAAGGCATCCACTTGTGGTATTTCTGTTATAGCAGCCCTAGATGACCAAGACAGGTGCCATAAAGTTTTTTCTCACTCATAGCGACCCTATGTACAACATAACAAAACACTGCCAGGTCCTGTGCCATCCTCACAATCATTGCTCTGCTTGAGGCCATCATTGCAGCCACTGTGTCAGTCCATCTCCTTGAGTGTCTTCCTCTTTTTCGCTGACCCTCTACCTTACCAAGCATGATATCCTCCTCCAAGGACTGGTCCCTCCTAACAACATGTACCGAGTACATGAGATGAAGTCTCACCATTCTCACTTCTAATGAGCATTCTGGCTGTACTTCTTCCAAGACACATTTGTTCGTTTTTTTGGCAGCCCATGGTATATTCAGTATTCTTTGCCAACACCATAATTCAAAGGCATCAATTCTTCTTTGGTCTTCCTTGTTCATTGTCCAGCTTTCACGTGCCTATGAGGTGATTGAAAATACCATGGCTTGGGTCAGGTGCGCCTTAGTCCTCAAAGTGACTGAAATTGATCAAACATGCAATCAAGATGCATTGATAATTATTGGTGATTAGAATGCAAAAGTTGGAAACAAAGAAGAAGCATCTGTAGTTGGAAAATATGGCCTTGGTGATAGAAACGACACTGGAGATCACGACAGAATTTTGCAAGACGAACAACTTATTCATTGAAAATACCTTTTTTCAACAACATAAATGGTGACTATACACGTGGTCCTTGATGGAATACACAGGAATCAAATTGACTACATCTGTAGAAAGAGACAATGGAGAAGCTCAATATTATCAGTCCCAACAAGGCCAGGGGCCAACTGCGAAACAGACCATCAATTGCTCACGTGCAAATTCAAGTCGAAGTTGAAGAAAATTAAAACAAGTCCACAAGAGCCAAAGTACGACCTTGAGTATATCCCACCTGAATTTAGAGACCATTTCAAGAATATATTTGATGCATTGAACACCAATGACTGAAGAACAGATGAGTTGTGAGATGACATTAAGGACATCATACATGAAGAAAGCAAACGATCATTAAAAAGACAGGAAAGAAAGAAAAGACCAAAATGGATGTCAGAAGAGACTATGAAACTTGCTCTTAAACGTAGAGCAGCTAAAGCAAATGGAAGAAATGATGAAGTAAAAGAGCTGAACAGAAGATTTCAAAGGGTGGCTGGAGAAGACAAAGTAAAGTATTATAATGACATGTGCAAAGACCTGGAGTTAGAAAACCAATAAATGTTAGAGAAGGAAAAAGGCCTGTATCTGGTCCCTATTGCCCAGGCTGTTTTCATTTGAACTTAGAGCACTTTGTGTTGGTGGCACTTGTTTGTCAATGACCATTGCTCGTTACTGCTTTGTATCAATCTTTAGCTTTTTGTATGTTTCACAGATAAAGCATTGTTAGAATCCAACATATCAAAGGTCCCTATCCTTTTGGTTAGGAAAAACCAGTTGCCATCAAGTCAGTTCTGACTTATGGTGACCCTATGTGTGTCAGAGTAGAACTGTGCTCCAGAGGGTTTTCAATGGCTGATTTTTCAGAAGCAGATCGCCAGGACTTTCTTTTGAGGCACCTCTGGGTTGACTTGAACTGCCAACGTTTTGGTCAGCAACCAATCAGGTTAACTGTTTGCACTACCCAGGGACTCCTTCTTTTTTTATTTTTATTTTTTTTATTGTACTTCAGTTGAAGGCTTACAGAACAAATAGTTTCTCATGAAACAGAAGTACACATGTTGTTTTATAACATTGGTTAACAACCTCACAACATATCAACCCTCTAACTTCTCAGCCTCTTTTTTTGTTTGGTGAAAATACACATAGCCAAAGATACACCGTTTCAAAAATTTC